CTCCACACTCTAAGAATGGCATTACTCAGGGAAGTAGGCACTGAGATGCTGTCTTTCCACGGCTCAACATCTACTAACACAGGACATGCAGGTTGAGGAAAAAAACTATTTATTAACTTCATGCAGTTACTTTACTCTATTTACTTTTGTTCTCAAGTCTCAGGGTGCACAAGGATCTGGGTTATAAAAAGGAAACCTTGATCAGTCGTCTTTCCCCACCTCCTTCCTTTGGTGAACGATGTTTCAAAAATGCTGTTGTCCAGTGTACCAAAGCAGCTCAAGCAGCATTTACACACACTTGCAAGCAAAAGAGCAGTCCTGTAACTGATGTTTGTTTGCTCAGACATTCAGTGAATACAGGCGCAAAGGCCAAAGTCAATCCAATGCCGAAAGAAAAAAAAAAGGCTAGTATTTACAAAAAATACCTTCACAATGGTTTTGCTCAGCAGCTTGCTGGCAGCAAGACGTAACTGAGAGATGGGATATTCCCTGCACAATCTGGCTCAACTTTGCCCTCACACAACTCCATTTTAGAATAGAACAGCCTGAGTTGGAAGGAACCCACAAGGAGGATCATCAAAGCTTTGCTGCTGCTGCAGCGTGACCAGTGTCCCACCACCCCCTACAGTGGTGCCAGCCATGGTCAGTGTCTCACTCTGAAACATTGCCTCTACCTTGCAACACCCTGAAGGCATTTTAATTCACTGGGCTTAGACAAAAAAGCATTTTTTGTTCTTCATTGTAACCACATATTTTTTTTGCATTTATTCTATGGGGCCAGTCAGGTCATGCTTAGGGCTAAAAAATAACCAAGAAGCTACAAAAGGAAAAGCCCACTTCATGATCCTACCCCATCTTTGTCACAACTCACTTCTGAGGAAGCTAAAGGTTCATCTCCTCCATCCTACCTACTCCAAGGGCCTCTTCCTCTTCCCCCTCACCCTGTATTTCGGGGACCTCCAGCTCCCCTTCAAATCCACCCCTAACATTCACACCCAGTGCCACAGGCTGCCCTGGGTCCCCAGCAAACCCCATTGTGCCACCATCTCTACAGCCTCCCCCACTTTTCTCATACTGGGGCTAAAACCATTGCCATGCAACTTATGAGCCCCAACATCCAACCACTGCTTCTCAGATGCCATTTGCTTCTTAAAACCTGAGGCCAATGCTCAGCCCTTGGGCTCCCATAAGGGAAATCAAACTATCATCCCCCTTCTGACAGCAGCACATCAGTGGTTTGTTTCTGCTCAGACCATATTTACGACAGCTCTAGCTCTTAATCCTCCAGTGATAAAGCTTTCTCCACGAGCTCACACGCTTATAAATTCAACCTGGTTTATTCCAAATATCACATAAATTAAATACATTTCCCATGAATATTGCAAATATACATGAAATGAACATTGCAATCTTTAAAAAAAGTTTTGGCTTTGTTTATGCAACAAAAAGTGCCAAATGTGGTTAGAACATGAACTTCTCCTGTATTTACTAGATACAAAAAGGTGCAGATTAATAATTTATATTTATACATATGTACACACTCCATTTAATTTCTAGCTTTAAAACAGTAAAAAATGGTTTCAAGTTTATCTACATTAAACATACTCGTTTACATCTGGTCAGAAGCCCCAGATAAGAGTTGATACAATCATTTCACAACTGCAAAATTAAGGCGCTACCAAAATACCAGTTCCACTGTGTAAAATGTAACAGGAATAGAGAGTGTACAGCTTTCTATTTATCAATTTAAAAGTGGACTGGAGAACAGGGAAAAAAGAGCAGTAAGAAACATGACAAGTTCTACAGGTTAGAAGTACAAAGAGATCTTGATGACTATCAAATGAACATATTAAAATACAGTAGATAAAAGGCCTCAGTGGCAAACAATTAGTATGCTTCTGAAAGACAAAAAAGGTTAAAATATATATATCATTTTGTAGCTTGAAATTTTACAGGTGAACAACAGGTGTAGAGGTAGAGGGATTTTTTTTTTCTTTTTGGCCTCTTTACGATGTATAAAGAAGGGCCACATTCACCACAGTGAAAAGACTCATCATATATCCCAGCATCCTTGCTTGGATAGCAAGCAAGAAAAGTGTAATGAGCTAGAAAGGCAACAAATCCTGTCTATCTCTTCCAGGAGCTCAGCTCCAATGCTTTCACATGTACCTTGGCGACAAGTTACACCTAAGCATAGACTGGTTGTAACATGGACATCTCCTCTAGAGAGCAATAAGATAGCTAGCTTTTCCTGTGAGGTACTACTGGATGCTGTAGATATTATATGGCAGAGGTGATTTGGTAAAAATGAAACTGGTACTTTCCCTTAGAAAGCAAGTACCACAGGGCAGTGGTGATTTCATTTATTTATTAAAGCTTTGCTATTTGATCAGCATTCAATGTTTTGGAGGAAAAGTCAGCTTTGGGCTGCTAATATGATTATTTGCATCCATACACAGACAATTCCCTTGTTATTATCATTTATCCAAAACATCAGTCACTGAAATATTCACAGACCGCTTTAAACCTTGACTAAAAAAAAATCCCTCTACAGGGAAAAGAAAGTTCCGCTTTCTTTTCAATATCAATCACTCCATTAACTATGCAGGCCTTCATGAACACAGTAATGTCACTTCCTATGTAGAATGTCTTTACACATTACAGAACAGCAGTAAACAACCTCTCTTTTTCCATAGGGTTTTCTCTCAGAAGTACCTCAAAAGTAGGTATCTTGAACAAATCACTTTTGCAAAGAAGAATATTAACATTAACGTTTACTGAGGCAAAGCCAAGAAGACACTAACTAGCACCTTGATATTTTTTTTCTTAAATGCACTCCTATCTGTAAAATTAAGCACATATAAGATCGGGACCAGCAATATACAAATACAATTGGCGTCCTCTTTCAGCTAAGCTAGTAATACTCAAAACTAGGCAGACACACAAACAAGCAAGATGAGTGAGTCTCGAAGAAATACACAGCATGGAAAGGAATGGGAAGAACAGGAAGCTGAACAGAAAGGATTGCAAGATCAAATACAGTCCATCTTCTGGTCCGAGAATTAGTTTGTGAAATCACCTTTCAGTAGCTCAGCTGACAGCGGGCTGAAGACCTACTGACTTCTGACATTTCCTCCCCCACGTATGTAACCAGTCCTTTACACTTCAGTGAATTCCTCTTCCTCATCTTCAAATCCTGGAGGAAATGCATTTAACTTGAATTTTGAGTATTTTGGTGGTGGTAGCAGAACTTGCAGAAGGCTACTGTAGAGGTTATGACATCATTGGTTGTACATTATGCACTTCACAATTCAGAGGATATACTTACAAACTACTTAAATAGAAAAGGCGTGTTCAAGGTAGAGGCAGTTACAGTACATTCAGGGTATGTTACAGAAACCATTTGTGGTAGCCATTTGCTGAAAGGAAAAAAAACTCTCAATTTTTGTTTCCCAGACCACACAGGTTATAACTACAATACCCAAAGAGAGCAGGTAATATATCTCAATCACGGCATTTTAATGCAGTCTTCTTCCAGAATTCATGTGCAAAGTGGAAAAAAAAAAGTTTAAATACCTCTTCATTGACAAATAAGGACAAAAGAACTAAAAAAGAAACCAGGCACTTTGACCATGTAGGTAAGCAGCCATTTCTTCTTACCAGACTTCTGCACATGAACAAGTCTTTACATTGGTCTTGCTATGCTTGCAGCACATGGAGATTCAAGTCAATTTTTTTTCCCTGTTGGTAGTATCAGTTCTAGTTATAGGAAACTGTGCCAACTGAATTGGTAACACTGAGTTATTTCATTGGCAGTTGAGCTAATATTGATCATTTGACTGACAAGCGATCAATTTAATAGCTATCAAAATTAGATAATAACAAAATAATACATAAAAAATAATCAAAGAGACAAATGAAGGTTAACACCTGACTTAAGCTTGCATTGAGACTTGCCTTTATAGGTTCGGTTTGTGACTCCTTTCACGGTGTTACTGTGGACTGATTCCCATCACATACAGCAACTGGTACTAAACTACAATACTTTCGGTTTGAAACACGTTCAGTAGAGATCACCTCAATGTAACGGGAGGCTGGCATGACACTGCAGGAAGGAGGGAGATGGAAACCTCCCCATCTTTCATCCTCGCTGGTCCCACTCGCAGAGCAGGTGCTCAGAGTAAACTGCAGCATGCCTCCCTCCTACTTGGGGTGAAATCATTATTTCACAGCAGTGTTTATCATACTTTAGGGAGCGGCTTGATTTGAATTTAGCGGTAAGACCAGCTAGGATTACTTTGGTTTTTCTTTTCAAAGAAACCAAAGTACACCTTTCCAAACATTTTGTACATACTCATTCTGCTACAACACATAAATCACAAAGGAGGGATTACCTAAGGCTACTTAATAGTGTACTTATTCAGTAGCTATTATTCTTTCATCCAAACATCCTCAGATGCCTTGACCACAAATGCTTAACTTGTTTTTTCCTCAGACTACTATTTGCTGAAGAGAGAGAGAGAGAGAGAGAGAGAGAGAGAGAGAGAGAGAGAGAGAGAGAGAGAGAGAGAGAGAGAGAGAGAGAGAGAGAGAGAGAGCGAGATGTGGGTTTATGACAGAGTGCCTTCCGATTCACTGACAGACAGTAGTGTCAGTTATAGTCTTCATGCATACTTCTGCTGGGTAGCAACAACTCCTCTTCTGCTCACTACAAGTCTAGGAAACACCTCTTCAATCCATTGTTCAGTTTCCTTTTCCTACCAAGTGAAAATCCAAATCACATGCAGGCCAATGGTGCTACTCTAGTACTTAACTCTCTTGCAGGCTAGAAACATCAACTCTATCGCAGTACTTTGAAGCAATTATCCACATCCATCAGCTACACTCTAAATGTAGCACAGCTTTGTTGAGGCTCAGTTTTCATCAGGATAACAGGAGAGTGTGCAAGGTTTGGTGAATACCCAGGATAACAAACTGATGCAATCGATGGATGCAGGACATAGTCAGAAAGGGCTGCTTTTTTTTGAAGGAATCTTTGAAAAATACAAAAACAACCCCTCCCCTTTGCCCTCCCCTAGAACGACCTATCATGAGATGTTTTTTCAGTGCCCACTCAACTGAAGTCCATGTTATCTGGGTCTTTTGCGAGTCACAAATATCAATACGCGTCTGATGGCAATAAGACGATCTTTAAGGGAGGTCATAGCCAATATAGCCAGCTGAGCTCTGTTTTCCAGAGGCAGCACTGCCAAGAGCCACCAGTACCAGGCAGGACCACTGGGGTTGCTCTGCAAAAGAATAGAAAGATGTATTCACCAATTATGTATTCACCAGCACTGCCCCATTAAGAACATCGCCTTCCTTCTCACCTTGTATTTGCTAAAAAAGTTACCACAAAACGGTTCAAGCAACAATTAAATACTTAATTGCAGATGGTTCTCTTTTTTTATATATACCACTAAGAACTTATTCCTTCAGCTATCAAGTTACATAGATACGCTGTTTTCCATGCTTCATGCCAACGGACAAAAACTGGGTAAATAAGATTTAGAATGTACAAAACCACAGCAAAAATCTGTCAGAAAACAGTCTACTGTAAAAATTTGGTATAGAATAAGGCTGTTTAAGTAGGAAGGTTCTATTACCTGTGGCTCTGGTTCTTTTCCTGGCATGGACCCAAAATGATTGAGAATTTGCACTTTCATATTGTCTTTAAGAGAAGTAAACCAGGCAACAGCTTGATCATAAACTGAATCATGAAGACGGACAAGTTCTTCATATTCTGGTCCTTCAACCTTATTGTTAAAAGAAGGGAGATGGAACAAAAACAGGTTTGATACCGTGGAGCCCATATGCTTCCCCAGAAGCAAACGAAGCAAAATAATGCAGTGACTACAGCTGTTCAAATGCCCTTATCTAAACCAACTGTGCCTAAGTCTCAGATTTCAAACCTGTGATGCTGGAGTTTTTCTACCCTCCCCTAGGTGTTCTGAAGTGACATTTCTTGGAGCAGTAACTGCCCTGCTAATATCCATTCCTAAACACTGGCACAACAGAAGATTCCGCTCTAATCCTAGGACATCATATTAATCATCTCAAACCCACAGCCTCAAGTCCCTGTCACAGAACAACCCTTAACAGTGGTATATTGTCTGGCAAGACAAAACAAGCACTACTGCCACCGAGCACAGAGAGGGGGAGATCTATGGCCCTTAAGAGACCAGCAGTATTCCATAGAAGTGTTAAGGCCATGGTAGGACAGCCAAGGAGAAGGAGGAGGACAGACACCGGAGCAGGCAGGAAACAGGGAAAGTGGATGCTTTCCCAATACCAGAAACAGCCATGAAGAAACACACCCTCATTGAAGCAAAGAGTGTTTTAGTTGCACAGCCCTAACTATTAGCTATTAAGGGGGGAAAAAAAGCATAGGCAAAACCCACTACCAAATGGTGATTTGTGGGGGCTTTTTGAGTTTTGATTTTTGTGGTTTGTTTTTTGTTTGGTTTGTTTTGGTTTTTTGGGGGGGGTTGTTTGGGTTTCTTTCCCCTTTAACATGTACATATCAATGGTGTGATTTCAGCTATGCTACTCAGATGCACATCTGATGTAGCTGCTGTGGATGCCTTTCACAGTTCAGGAGAAACAGCTCTAGAGGGCAATTCATCTCATCTTAAGGTAGGTATCTAAGAGCAGATAAAACAGGCATCTTTGGACTGAGTTTTCTCACCATCTGATATAACATGAATGTAGGGTGCTGAACACAGACACCAGTCTCTCACTGGAGACAAGGTAAATCTCACTGATTAGGAAGAGGTGGGTCTCTGGCGCCATCTACAAACACTGCCTTGATACCTGTGTTCCACCACTCTTCACTGGGGATTTAAACACAGCAGAGCCCTCACTCTGAGAAGACCACCTACTCCAGCCTTTCACAGGCAGAGACACCTCCATGAGATCTACCCTTCATGCCCTGACAAACAACTGCATCATTCTGCACAGGTTAGAAAAGCCCTACTAAGACTTTACAGACTTTCACTTCAACTATGAGAGTGAGCTAAAGAGCTGTATGACCCAACCAACTCCATCAACTGGCATGAGATTACTACTAAACTCGATGTTAAGAGCTACCAGGGTTTTACAAACATGGTCTGAAGATGATCCAGGAAGCTATTAAGCATGGCCAAAAATTCACCCTTTGGCCAACATCCATCATAAGCACCTCACACTCGATGCAGGTTTTCTAAGAGGACCTGTTTTTAAAAGCTATTCCCCTCTCTGAGTTTCTCTGCTCTCAGTCAGCTCTGACAGAGGTTTGTACATGGCACAGTTAACTACATGTCACTCAGAACTCATTCTAAGAGCGGACCCTCACATTTACTTGAGGACCAGTTCTGTAAATGAGAGTCTGGAGGACATAGGAAGTGTGCCAATTGTCTGTTCAGTGCAAGAGAACAGTCAGTTCTCTACCAACAGGAGCATGTGCTTTTAGAAGACTTTAAATTCTGTACCAGTTTTAAAATGTTACTCCGACCTCACCTACACATTCATGACAGACCTCAGCATCTCAGAAGCTACTCTGAGATCCATGAAGGGAGTGTAACACTTTAAGCAGAGATAATTATAAGGGCAGAAAGGAAGAAAGGGAAAGAAGAGACAAAGTTTGTTCCACGGTTTTTAAAATAGAGCTTTAGTGTATTTGTAATGATACTGGTTTAAAAATAATGCACAGCTAGCTTGAAATGCAACAAGGAAAGGCTATTTAAGTGAATCCAGCAATACATGGGTATGAATAACTTTGCACCATAGATCACCTTTTTATCTTCAAGATACTCGATGTTTGCTGTGTTATATCCATCTCGTTGGCCATGGCTTAAGACCCTAAAACGACGGACACCAACTGTATCAACAACTGAGCGTCCATCAGGAAAAAACTTTACGTCCCTGATCTCTAATATACAGCCATGATCTGCAAATCTGAAATGACAGAAGGGCATAAAAGTGGAAGTCATCAACACGTGTTTACAGACATCAGGACAAATACTGGGCCTAATTGAGCACTTCTTATTTGAAAGAGGATCCTGCTTTGGTGACAATACATTTCTGCTTATTCCCATAAGCCACACAACCCCCACCCTTTCTGCCTTCCCTCAGAGGACCTGGACAGCAGTATTTTCAGGGCATGTTTGTGGGGTGGGATGGTTGGAAAGGGACAGGAAACTAAATAAAGCATGTTTCATTCTGGGAGTTGTCAGATATTTGCTGGTGGCAAATTCACCTGGTTTGCAAAGAAAACAAGATGGGTAAAGATACCATAAGGAAGCCCAGAAACTGAGGAAAAATGTGAGGGCTATCCCCCTACTCCAACGTGTAAGCAGAGGATTGCAGGCTTTAGAAGAAAAAGGCTTCTATATAGCAAGATTTTTGTTGCATCTGTTTCCTTAAAAAAAAAAATCAAAACAAACCCAAAATACTCTTTACAAAAGCACATTTGTATCCACTATATTAAAGTAGGCACAGGTTTTAATCACACCCTGGAAACCAGCATGCAATAAATTTTTACTTTATCAAGATTACCTACTCTACCTTTGTGCTGTAGTGATTTCACTAGAGAGGCTGATTGTACAATGACTCTTCACCACAATACATTTGCAGCTCTACACCTCAGCCTACTGCTAGGCAGGAGAAAGTACTGCATGTATCTAGTCTCATCTCAAGACACCAAATCCCTGCAGGGTGTGATAAATTCTTTATCAGGGAAACACTTGTTTTACCAGGGCTTGGTCATTTCTTACAGTGGAGTGATGAAGAAATTACTTCTGTTTCTGCTTTACCAGAAATTGTGGGTTTGTGAGAGGCAGAGGGGAAGCTCACCACTGCGGACAACTGTTCTCTTCCAGCCACTCCACAGGAAAAAAATCAGGACAAGCAAGAAGAGTACAGCTGCAAACAGCTAAGCCTTGCTGCTTTACCAGTAGGATTGATTTTAAAAAAAAGTGAGTTTATTAGTTTATTACAGTAGCATTACACTAAACACTATTTAAACAGCTACATGACAATTGCTTTTAATTAAGGATTTTAGTGACATTCATACTGGATTTAGAAAATAATACAGAAGTGATGATTTTTTTCTTTTCTGTTGTTCTTTGAGAAGTTACTTTTGACTAGAAAGTGACCTTAAACAAAGAGCTCAAGAAAGCACCTGGAGACGGGTATAAAATGTACTGACACATTAAAAGTTTATATTCTTCTCCCAGCTTTAACTTAAAATGGAGAAATAAAACAGAGGAAGGTAACGAACTGAACATGTTTTGTCACTGTGTTTTTCAAGGGAGTTACGTATCCATGTCTTAGTAGATGAGGCAAAACAAGTTTCCCCACTTGTATTCCCAAGTTGATTTCGCAATTTTGAATAAACAAAAGAACTTCTTTACTTGTGTAAGAAGCTGCAACAGCCTGCTAGGTGTCTACAGCTACAGGCTTTCTTTGCTTCAGTGTTTGATTTAAATTATCATGCTCAAAAAATTTAATTATTTTAGTAACTTAAAACAGACCACACACAGAAACCTAATCACACTGATTGCATTTTAAAATATCCTTCATAATGTTTTCTAACAAACCAATTATTGTGTTTTGGGGATTGTAAGCCCTTGGCCCTCTGTATTATACCTGACTCCAAGTAAGTTTGGCTCTTCCAGAAGCCTTCATGGATATAAGGAGAGTTTCACTAATGTCCTAGGGTCATTCTGTCCTCACTCTTACAAGTATTTGCTTCCATGAAATTGGTAACAGACCTGAAAGGAACTGTGGAGCATCAGCTGCTTAACTCCAGAACCTTAACTCCAGAGTGCAGCACTGACAACATGCCAAATGGCATTGCAGCACAGCCACAGCTGACTGGAAGCTGTAGCATCTCCTGTATTCCTATAGCCACCTTACTGTCCAGTCAGGGAGAAAAATAAAAAATCCTCCCCAAGAAAACATGAAGTGGACAAAGCAAGGCTGCCAAGCCTCAGTATGACTGCCCTCCTCTCACCTCCAATGATGATCACTATAAAAATGCTGCTCCTGAGGATGCCTGTTTAACGTGTTCTTAAGGATTCCCGTGCCTGTCATCTATTCTACAGCCTGCATCATGCCAACATATCTTCTGAAGTCAGTAACTATCACATCTCAAAAGGCAGACCTCTCAAGACCACCTCGTATTTCTGCAATGAGCATAGTCTTATCACCTTCACCCAAAAGCCTATATCTGTAAAGTACGTAAAACTTGAAGGTTTTCATAGGATCATAGAATAGTTTTGTGTTGTAAGGGACCTTTAACTGTCATCTAGTCAGTCTCTGCATAGGAAGCTGGAAACACATCAATGTCAGAATTCACAAAAATGAATTAAAGGTAAAATCATATAGAAAGACAATGTAACTCACTCGCTCACTGCAGATAGTTTAGACATTGCAACACAGAGGTAAAGACAAACGTCAAAATTCAACATTCAGCAGCAAAACAGACTTCTCAGCCAAAGGTATACTTTGTCTCATTAAAATGATACAACTCATGCGGGAAACCTATGGAAGGTCTGGATTTTTTCCCTTATTTTTGTTTTGTTTTGTTTTTTTAAACTGAGCAGACAGAGGAGGAACCTTATACAGACAGTCAGCTTTCACTGGAACAAACAGGCCAGCAAGCTTTCCAACCACACAGCCAATTAAGTGCTATTTTTGGAGCCTGCAGTAGCAGGATGAGTTGCATTCTTGCTATCCATCCAACAGGGGAGCAGTAAAATTACATCTTTGTGTCAAAAGGAATGTTTAAAGTACAGAACTAAGAAGTAAGCAACTTTAGTATTGGTTCACATAGGACTGGAAGGAAACACAGTGGTTTGGGGAGACAAGTATACTGTGCTGTAGTATTTCCTTATCATCACAACAGCCTCTGCAACAACAGGACATTCTTAGCTCATCTCCTTACCCTTTTAATTCATCAGCTAAGCACATGCCAAACTGCTTGGTACCAGTTTCCATGCATCTTCTTATCATTAGGCGATAACGAGGTTCAAAGACATGTAGCGGACAAGGGATGGTAGGAAAGGCCATGGTACATACGAAGATGGGAACATCTTTATTCAAACTGCAAGATAATTGTTTAAAAAAATTCACTTTGTTTTCCGGCTACTGCTATATTCAGCATGAACCCTTAATACAAGACTGATTCCAGTGGTTTCCTTAAACTCATTCTTCATAAATGTATGTCTGTTAAAGGTTTGTAATTTTTACAAGACAAATATATTTCAGACTCTTTCAGTTTATACATGGCATAAGAGTCACAAGTCACTGACAAAAACTAGATCCTTGAACTTTTCCTGACCTTATCCATTCATAATTTGAATTCTACTCCCAGAAAAACCCTATTATAACTTTTAAAGCTATTATATTGTTTCAGAGGAAAAGGCAATTATCTTTATTTTAAGAATATTGTTGTGCCTCTCCAACATCCGTGGATATGTTACTTGTTTATCTGCAATAAATATGTCAAAAATACAAAACATCTGACAGGTTTGTTTATGAATTCATTCCTTTTACGCATTTTCATAAGCAAATGAAGTTTCTTCAGTAATTTAGATTGAAAAATACAGTTTTATAACAGCTGTCAGTAGTATAAAGAGAGCCTACTTTGACAATTCCTTCATTTCTTCCTCATAGACTTTCTTTCTTTCAGATAACTCCTCCGGCAGGTAACGGACTATCAGTTCTTCTGTAAGGACGGTCTTCTTGTAAGTTCTGCTTGCCAGAAACTGCAAGGAAGAGTCAACTCTTAAGTCTGACAACAAGAAGACAGGTAACATCTCTTCCTCCCAAGCCATCCTTTCCTAAGGCCAAAGAACACATTAGTTAGGACCATACTGATTTCTCATCCTTTTCAGCCTTAGGCATTGAAACTTCCACTTCAGGATATGTGGTTCACTCCACTGTCCTTTTACCTGTAACCCCCCATACCCTTTTTTTGGCAGAAGTTGTACTACCAGGAAAAAAAGGCAGTCCTTCCTCACTTTTGCAGAAGATACATATATTTTTTTCACCTAGAGCTGTCAAGTTACTGGCAAGAAATACTCTAAGAAATAATCATGTCTGCAGAAGCAGAAATGTTCACCAAGGAGTGACCATTCCTCATTCACCACAGGCAGATATACAGTCTGGAGATGTGGTATGAACAGGACTATGGCTGGCACTCCCCAGGCATGAGCCTGACATGATACTGGAAGCCTCTATTTCTTTAAGAACCAGCAAAACCCCTTGTCTTTCAAGAAATACCAAATATATCTTGGAGAAAATGAGGTCTGTGCACAGTTTGATGCTGTTGGTAATACTGTTTTGTTCTGGTTTCACAGAATCATAGAATAGTTTGGCTTGGAAGAGATCTTTAAAGGTCAGCTAGTTCAACCCCCCCTGCAGTGAGCAGGGACAACTTCAACTAGATCAGGTTGCTTGGAGCCCCATCCAGCCTGACCTTGAATGTTTCCAGGGATGGAGTATCTACCACCTCTCCAAGCAATCTATTTCATTGTTTTACCACCCTTCAAGGTAAAAAATTTCTGCCTCATATCTAGTCTAAATTGACCCTCCTTTAGTTTAAAACTACGACCAGCAACAGGCCCCACTAAAAAGTCTGTCCCCATATTTCTTATAAGCCCTCTTGAAGTACTGAAAGGCTGCAGTCAGGTCTCCCTGGAGCCTCCTCTTCACCAGGCTGAACAACCTCAATGCTCAGCCTGTCCTCATGCTCCACCTTCAGATCATGTTCGTGGCCCTCCTCTAGACCTACCCCAACAGCTCCATGTCCTTCCTGTGCTGAGGACCCCAGATCTTGACACAGTACTTCCAGCTGGGGTGTCACCAGAGTGGAGCAGAGGGGTAGAATCATCTCCCTTGACCTGCTGCTGAGGCTCACAAGTAGAGCACAAAAGATCCCCACACAGATGTTTTCAGAAGAACACAACTTTGTCATGGCTAGGCTTCGCGAACGAAGATTTAGGAAGGCTCTATCCACATTTGTTACGAACACAACTTTGTGCAGTTTTGTTAATTGGGTCAAGGACATACTTACTTCTGACAGCTTTTCTTTGCAGAGTGGGCAAAGTGGATTATGGTCAAGGCAACGCTCAAGGCATTTGAGGCAAAAGGTGTGTCCACAGGGTGTGGTAACAGGTTCGTAGAACAACCTTAACATGAAAACATGGAACAGAGAAGCTAAGCTGCCAACAAAAACAATGCAGATTCCCAAAGAGTGAAAGGAGTGACTACTCCTAGCCCTCTCTTTCTTTCCTGCTTTTGTATAAAGTATGGGTGACAATTTTATCTAAGGATATAAAAGATTTTCATTTTTAGAAGTGGTAAACAATGGAGAACACCATGCATAATGGAGAAAACTGAATCTGTAAAGATTCACCAGATGTAAGTTTCAGCAAAAAGGAACAGAGTAATGATTTAGATATTCTCTCACAGGTTTCTCTTCTGACACCATGAAAACTTTTTTCAGAAGCTAGAAAGGCTTTCTAATATTAATTCCAGGTCAGCGCAGTCATACCTCATGCAGAGGGAACACTCAAAGTCTGATGCATCCACCAGAGTTGTTGGTATCTCACTTGAAGTGTCGGTGGTGTTTTCAGGTAAAACATCTGCATCTAAGTAGTTTAGAAAATTATTAGAGTAAATATTTAAGTATTGTTACATTTTCAGATGGGGTTTAGGCTGTTTTTTCATAAAGAAAAGAACCTGATTTATGTCTTTTACTTTTTAAGTTTTATTCCAAACAAACATATTTCCCATCTGAGTTTTAGGTTTTTTGACAGAAGATCTTTTGGAGAACAGAGGATGACGTCTATAGCCAGAGAATAGAACACCCATTATTTAGAGCTGAACACCCATTATTTGCTTCTCTAAAAATGATTGTGTTATGTGTTTTTTTTAGTCTAGTTTTTAAAATACTCTGCTATTGCTTTCCTACTACTATCACCACCTCCACATCAGCCAGGCCAGATGTTTTAAAGTACATTAAGTCCAGAATTTAATTTGTATACATCCAGTCAACATATTTCATCAGTGTTTATCACAGATTTCTCAGCAGGGTTATTTTTTCTTACAAGTAGAAAAAGCTTACATACTTCTAGACTAGGCTGCTGTGCAAATCCCACATTTCAGACAGCTTAAAGTTAAAGGACTACTGGAGTTGCATTAGCTAATACTGATTCTACTAGCTCAGCAATCTGCAAACACAGAGGCAAACACTTCACTTAAAATTCTGCCCAGACTGATGTTTTGGGGGTGCTTTATAGCCCTGTGGTGTTAGGGTATGAGCTTTAAGCTTTACATCAGCATTATTTAAGCTCTGAAGCTCTCAGCTCCAGCTTTGGATGACATTTACATAGGCAATTTCTGCAACTTCTTTTACAATTCATATCTTTGTTGCTCAGTGACAGTTGCAACAGAACCATGAATGGTGCCCTCACACTCTGTTCTGTTAAACAAATTTTTGACCATTTAAAAAAACCCCAAAAAGTTCAGCTTTTTATGTTAAGTTAAACCGCTAGGAGATTTTGTTAAATGATAGCTTATGCTCAGCATCTGATTTACCTCAAGCACAGACAGGGTAGATGTCGTGTGGCCTACAAAGAAAAACAGCACTATCTTTAACCTACATCTCACCTGTTAGCATTTAGTAATAGCAAGAACTAACTGTATTAATTCTGCAAAAAGTAACATGGCACTGGGACCTAGCACAGACAAGAAATTAGTGGTTATGGGTAAAAGGCAATCTCTGGCCTTTGCTGGGAAGATACAGGTGGGTCAGATTTCACAATCTATTTACTGAGTCTGCAGTTCACAAGCAAGTACACGGTTTTCCCTTCACAGCAACATGATCAGAAAATGGCTATATATTGATCATTTGTAGAGGTGGCGGACAGACAGCAGCACTCAAAGACTCTTAATATTTCAAGACAGAAGTCAAACTAATCAAGGTGCGGGTTGTTTTTCTTTTCTTTAAGGGAAAAAATGCAAACTAGTACAGAAGCATTTTTAAAGTTTCTTTTAACCAATCATTCCACTACTGGGAAATACTGCCTTCAGCATTTTTAGCCCTGAGTACTAAAACCACTCTGGAGGTCTTTGTTAGAAGCTTGAGTAGCGTATCAATTGTAAGCACAGTTATCAAGTAACAGAAAACTGGGTGGGCTTATTACCCTTTAAAAGGCTTCTTTGTTTGCTTGGAAAATTTCATGTAAAGTTGCATGTGACCGTTTCTGATGCCAGCTAAAGATCAGTTTCCAGGCTTACTGCATCTTTCAATCATAAAGACAGACAATGAAGTTCAGCTATAGCTGAGACCTAGAAAATGGAAACGGCACTAGCAACACAAAGACTAAACTGTGAGTGGGCTACACGTTGGAAATGGCCCATTTGAGAAAGAAAAATACAATTTTCATTCAATGAACTGAAACTGCTCTGAAATAAGGTAAATAGGCTGTTACACAGACACAGAGAACAAAATATCATTCCAATTCCAATAGGGAATATTTCATTGACACCTATATAAAGGGAGGAGTAAAAAAGTTTATAGTTTTTCAGTATGTGCAAGAGAAATTGCCTTTCTAAGCCACAACACAAACCTTTTTTAGGAATCTTATTGGGGACATCCAAACTCTGTAAATCCCTCATATCACTGGACAGCTTTCTTTTTAAGCCAACCCCAGGTAAACTGGAGAGAATAGCTCCCAAAGACTTCTTGTTGTCTTCAAAATAGAGATCCAGAACATGATGGGAAACAGGAGAATCAGTGCTTCTGAATACATCAGATTCTTGGGACGGGGTTTTTGTTAACCTGAATACAGCATCCTAAAACAATTAAGAACAGTTATATACAGCATGAGACAATTTTGCTTTGCTTTTTTCTATTAGTTTTATCAACAATAAATCACTCTCCAGTTGCATGAAATAGGGCCATTTCTCTCCCTACAGCTCTTGTCTCTAGAAATTATGTTCCTGTTATACTAAAATCCTTAGTGGAAAAAACTTGCCCAAAAATACAACTGACCCCCACATGAAGGTATCACATTGCTTTCTGAAGAAAAAGTTTCATTCTCTTATTCTTCTGAGAAAGTACATCCCAATAAGAGATACAACAGCAATGGAGAAAACAGGCTTACCATGAAAGTAAATGCCTACATGAGTGCAGACAAAGACAACGTCACACAGATCAGACAGATCCTTGAGTTACTTTTGGTATTTTTATGTTGAAAACTTTTTGTTTTACCTTTGAGGACCCAGCAACAGAGTTATCTTCCACAGCTGACTGTGTATTTATGCTACTCAGAAATGCAGGTTTCAATCTTGTATGGGATGTTCGACTAGAGAAAGGTGCTGTTAGACTATCATGCACATTTTCAAAGGCTGGGAAAAACATCTCACACATTATCTAGTCAATTAAGAGAAAAAAAAAGAAAAAGAAATAATTACAACATAGATATTTATGTTTGTATGAACACAGATGCAAAAACTTCACAGTTTCTAGATGCCAAGAAGCTTGCAACAACCAGGACACCCTGCATTTCCCAATGCCCATGGGAAACCTGAACGGCAGTCCCCACCACAACCACAGTCACATTCCAAGGTGTCTTCAGGTGCCCACCTCATTCTCCAAAGGCTTCTGCTCTCCAGGAGCATCCAGGGCAGCAAACAGGCTGTTGCATCCTTCTCCTATCTCTATTCTGACCCTCAGACCCTGCCTTCAGAAGTCTTCAGACCATGCTCTCCCAGCTGGTTAACAAAGATGTGTTTAAACATTCCTCATGCCCTGCATCCATGTTCTCTATCCTCAAGCAGATTTAACCCCTAGCTAAAAGCTGTGTAGAGCCTGTTACCCCTCTCACCAGTCCCCACCAAGTTTGCCAAATCCTCACTGCATTTTTATAAGAAGCTGCCTGTATCGACTTTCACAGAATACCTGATGGTGGTTGGTTAGCACTAAGTGTGTCTAACTTCTCATAAGGGACAAACTGCTACAAATACCACAGGATTTTTCCAGGAAGGGCAGCACAAAGCTTCCCCTTCTCAACTCTCTGCCACTCCCCACATAAAAGTGATTTTCTGATGGTACTAAAAGTAGGAGCCTCAAGCCTGTGCAATCCAGGTGCTTGCGTACCAACCTACTCAAATTTGGCTGACACACTACAAGCATAATTTACAAATTACAGCAGCCAAACCTACAGATTTGCGGTGTAATTCACAAACATACAATTCCTCTAGTTGAAGAATCAAACCAAACCGGAGGGGTGCTTCACATAGCATAATGCTAGAAAGATTCTCTAGGGAATCTACTGAATCAAATTATCATTTGGCTGTTTACTGTCACTTGAAATAACATGAATTTTACTTGGCTGTAGGAGTAAAAGAAGCATGATGGCCAAGTAGCCAGTAAATATTTTTCTATACCTTTTGGGCTTCTTTCTTCATTGAGCTCCATTCAGGATTTAAGGCAACACAATAAAGAAACTCCTTCAATGCTTCCTCAGTCCTTTCCAATCCAGAAAGAGCTTTTGCTTTCACATAATGGCCCTGTTCACACAAAGGAAACGTACAAATCTAGAGATCATTTCTGAACTAGCAGCAAGACACCAGAAACAAACTTGAAAGTTCACATCATTCTGCAGGTAAGAACAAGATGCTTTTTGGGTAACAAAAACGCACATGACTGAAGGAAATTCAGTCCCTTCTGCTGAAAAAAGATTCCCCAGGAACCCACTGCTGCATCATCCCCTGCCAAAGGCATTGCTCTTTTCCTCAGAGGAGACCTGAAAATGAGAAAGTATATTTGTCTCCCCAAAGACAAAGTCTACTACACATCCCACTGGGCTTGGATACACCAGAGAACAGTTTCACATACCAAGGCAAACTTAACAGTAATTCAGCTGCATGGAAAAGGCAGTGATATGAGGAAGGCTGGAGGTGGTAGCTGAGGGAGTTCAGGACACTCACTCCTCCTGGGTGTCTTACCAGGACAGAGGTGATTTTTCACATATTTTATTTGGCTACAGAAGACCACAACATTATGAATTTAGGGCAATTTACCAATGCTTAATCTAAACTTTTTAGCCCATCCTACCTCTCCCATGTCCTGGGAGAGGACACGCCAACAGGCATGGTAGCCAGCTTGGGAACAAGTCCCACTTTACTCGCTACTAATAACAAGAGAAGAATGTCTCACCTCTGAATTTCCCTGTGGACATCAAACTGCAGTTCAAATCTGACTACGGAAATTACTTCCTTCACAATGAAAACAAAGTGTGCATTTAAACATTTGCCTCTCACTTATTAGATAGAAGTGTGCTCTGGAAGTCCACCTCTGACCCACACGAACATCTACTGAAAGTACAGCTTTTCTCATCTAAGGGACTGGCTAGATAAGCAGATACACTTTTCTGTCCTTCATTCTAATGCCAAAAGATCCAGTACCGCATAATCTTCCTGAGCGGGTAACTCCCTCATTCTTTCAATACTGCCCTCCAAGCTGAGACCTGTTAAGATCTTTACCTTTACACTGTTGGGTAGGAGGCTCGTACCAAAAGGAAGTAACAGGCACTGCCTAGGCCAGAATAATTAGTTAATATCATTTGTTGACATGAACAAAAAGCCTCAGTACACACCAGCCTCTCCAGGTGACATAATTTTTCTTTTCCTCAATGCAGTAAGAGAGGTACTGTGAGACCTGACCCTGACCTTCTTACCTTGATGCTTGCACAGCCCCTGTAAAACCTTAAGAGAGGTCTTAACACGCCTGCCATCTCTGTCAGCATTACTTTCCTGCACTGGGGAGCCGACAAGCTTTTTTGGCCTCATCCTTTGGAGCCGTAAGAGCACTGTCCTTATCCAACCTGCAAGGGAGGACTGACCTGGGCTGTCTACAGACAAAGTACCTAAAGATCCAACACTGGAAGTTAGGCCGAGGGACTAGAGGTCCCTTATACTTCAGAGACTACTGCTGTCACCTTCCCTTTCTTATTTTCACACAGCCCTGCAACTGAAAACTCCTCCCTGCCTCAGAGAGTCTATGGACCTGGTTTTCATAGCAACTGAAAAGAAACCAACTTATCTATGCTGCAGTGACTACAGCATACCAAAGAGCTTCACAGTAACTTGGCAAGTCTTTAAATTTCAACTGTCAATAAGCCAAAAGGTACTGGTAGGTGAATGCTTGCATCCCAGGAGCTACTCCTAGAATTACTTTAATTGTTTGGTTTTGGTTTGTTGGTTTTTGGGGTTTTTGTAACTACACAGCAAATGTTTGAGCTAATCTCTGTCACTGGATGAGATTTTGCAAGATACAAAACAAAGCAGATGCCCAGGACTCCTGGAGAACACAGATTCTGGATCAGCACAACTTACATGGATGTCCTCACAAACACAAAAGCATAAGTGAAGTACGTGTGAGACACTGCTTGTTATGCCATGATGACAAATTTCATTTTCAATTAACATTCTTCAGAGGTGGGATTAATAAAACCTTTATCTGCCTACGACTGACACACATCACATTTCCACAGATTCAGGCAAACAGAGAAGACACTTCAAGAAAACATTTGAACATGTGTAATTCATCTTTCTGCCCCAGCACAGAAGCACAGCCAACGCCACCTAAGATGGGATTCCTGACTTCATGAGAAATTATCCTAGACAGAAAGGCAAACTGGATGTGGGGTAAGATTATGAACTGCCTTCCAACATTAAAGATTTTAATGGGTGACAAGACACACAGCCTTCAGAGACTCAGTGCTTCTGAAAGCACCTCTCTGCTTGCCCCGCGTCATCCCTGGCTGGAAATGAGCACTAGCTGCAGCCCCCTTTGCTGAGGCAGGTAGCCAAGGCGTTTATGCAACTCCTCCTTAGTCTCCACAGGAAGCCAAGGTTTGCCCTCCCCAATCCCCCATGTCACCCTCTTTCCAGAAAGCACCCAGAGGCTTTATTTGGTCTAACTTGTGCTGCAGTTTTGCTGCTGAAGGGAGAGGGACTGACTGAAGGTGTAATCCTAGGTGGGGTGAGTTGCTGGACATCTAGTCTAGCCTCAGGCAACCAATGGTAATGATGGGCATTTCTGATGCTTGCTTCAGACTGCCCACAAACCAGTGCTCTTTGTAGCACTTCCCTTCATTATGAAAAAATCCCAACCCCTCTATGAGTCACCATGACAGAGGTGGAAATCACAGATATGAAATCTTAGGATTAAAGAAGGGGTTAAAACAATCCTGAAATACAGTCTGAGGTACTCCTCGGAAAGACACATTGGCCAACAGCCTGTCAAGACCATCCACTGCCTTGGAACATCATCCCAGAGGGACCTGCAGGGCCATCCTGGGCTGCTGGTGCCTTATAGATCTAATTCTGCTTCCAAGCTGCAGTACCATCTGTAACAGATAACAGGTGCCAGCACAAACAAAACCACATCGCTGCCTGCTCACTACGAAAATACCACCAGCTGGAGAGATGCTAAGGACTTTCCAGACTTGTCCTATGAAGAACTGGCTCTTGGTAGACATTTTCAGCCCTCTTACTGCCACAGTGTTTTTCTGACAACACCCTCAGCAGCCACGCTGTTCCCAGCACAGAGAAAAGCCCAAGAAAAAGGAGTTTTCACTTTGTTCTTTACAGCATGCAAATACCGTACCGCAGGCCAGTGGGGTTTGTTTCGGCAGAGGACATCTGCGTCGTGAAGAGCTTGCTGGTAGTTTTTCATCAACGTACAGAGTTCTGCCCGCTGTGCTATTAGTGAACACTTGCAAGGAGCTGGAAAACAAAAATGATTGCACGGAACTTCATTAAAAGAAGCACTAGGACATGCTAAATACAGTAACCTTATATCCAGCCACAGTAACTTAAAAAGCATTACTGCACAACGATTACATTTATACTCTCCTGTAAAGGAAAGAAAGGTCAATTCCTTCATTCTTTCCTTCTCAAAATATATTCCTCTCAGCCTGGAAGCAACCTCTGTGTTTTATCTAGCAAGACAGCTTTCATATTCACATACAGGATGCCACCTGCTCTTTCCCTCACCTTGCTTACAGGACATTTCAGAAAGCAAAAAGTGTTTCTCCCAAACACTCTTCAAGTGTTTCTCCCCTCAGTGAGAAATCACCAGTGAAAGACTTGAAAGAAATCACAAATGCAGGACTTCAGCTAAAACGTTCCTGGAAGCCATTCATTAAGAAAAATGCATGCAGCCTTCACACTTCATATCCACTTGCCTTCCTCGGGGCAGGCAAACCTTTCATGATCACACACCTTGCTTCTGTATCCACAAATTCATGAATCATTCAGTTTGCATGGATTATGAACTTCTCAAGCATTATTATTTTGTTCTTTTCTCAGGCCTCTAGAACACATTTTAAGCTGGAAATCTTCCTCCAGCATAAAATTTCATAGAATCACAGAAAAAAACGGGCTAATCCGCATTCAGTTGGTCCACCGGGACCTCCAGCTCTTTTCTGCAGATCTGCTGTCTAGCCCAGCTCATCCTGTTGCACAGGGTTATTCTTTCCCATGTTCACCTGCATTTGCAATAGGCAAGGCTGATCAGCCCATGCCCAAGGTTGTTGGTCTGAATGGCAGCCCTGCCCTCCAGCACATCAACCTCCCTCAGCTTGGTGTCATGGACAAACTAGCTGACAGCGCACTCTTGGCTGCTGATGGAGGTTGTTAATAAGGTGCTGAGCTTCGTCAACCCCACTACCAACACCTGAGCAATGCCACTGGTCGTCCAGCAGCTCTGAAGCCACGAGACACCACCTCATGCCTCTGATGGTCCAGTAGATTCTCCACCTCCCTGCCACTACCTCCCCAGCTTGGCAAGAAGGACATTGCAGGAGGCTGCAGTAGCAGCCTTGCAAAACACACGCTAAGTCCCAAACAACACTCTGCTTTTGTCCACTAAAACAGTTACCTCATCTTAGGAAATATAATTTATTCCTGGTCACTCTTGACCTTCATGTGCTGGGAAAGGCCTCCAGAGGGCTGGAAGCTGGCTGCTGGCAGCTAAGTACAGTAACTCTTACCAAAATGTGAGCTGGTTAAAACTGTCAGAACTAGTAATAAACTTTACAAAGGCTCCAAGGTGCTGAGAGATGGTATTGCATTTTTACATATTTTAAACTTCACCTCCAAGCTAGCTCTCTCAAGATTTTTCCATCAAATGTCACCTTTTGCACATCCTCACGCAGGGTTTCTGTCTCCGTACCTTTCCTGTTCTCTCCAGCCTGCTTTGCTTCACCGTTTGCATCTCACTTCAGCCAGAGCATCCTAAACACGTGCTCAATAAGACCACATTGCCAATACGAAGCCTGGGCACATGCACACGTGTGCATGGACAGAGAGTAAGCACAACTGCTGCAGGTGTCACCACTCATTAAGTTCAAGCACCTACCAGGATGGATGGCCCAATATCACATCCCTCTCCCACCTCCTGCCCTCCCTTGTGCTGGTGCAGCAAACCAGGCTCGCATGGTTGCGCTGAGAACCAGAGCAAAGAATCAATTGACCGAATGCTAATTCAATAAAAACAAATAAATAAAAAGGTTTAAGAGGATCAGTTTCCCCTCAGCTAGTTCACTGCACAGCCACACAAACGTGAGTGCCGGGACAAGGGATGAGAAGGAAAGTAACAGCAAGGAGTGCTGCTGCCTTTTTTGGCTGTAGCATGGACTGACACCAGATATACTAACGGCAGAATGACATATCAGGGGTGATGCTGCTCCACTGGTCTCAGATGGTGACAGTTAGAGAAAACACTTAAAATAAGGAGGTCTGCAAAAGCTAGTTCAAACTGGGGTTCTGTGTGGTTTTTTTGTCTGATTGGTTTTGTCTTGGTTTGCTAGGGTTTTTTCAACTACTACACTTGCAAGCTTCTGCAGTGATCCACATTTCTAGCTCATAATTCTTAAAGACTACAAGTTGAATGCAATTGAAAGTAATTAACCGAAGATCTTCAGAAGCGAGTTTTTTGTTTCTTTTAGCAGATGTTCAAACAGGAAATTATTTAACTTAGCTACATTTGAACAGTGTAAAGTAAGAATGCATAGTCTGTATTTCCATCGTTGTATCTGCTGTACGGTACGTGTGAAGAGTATGTTGAGGGGGATAGGGGCAGTAAGCAGAGGTAGGCAGCTCAGCAGGCAGACAGGGCCCTGGGTGGGGCATTTTCTGGCACCATAGGGAAAGGAAGTAGTGTGAGATTAAGGGGCAAGGCAAATCAGCTTCCTGCTTCTGTTTACTACCACACGTTTTGAGCACGCTGATGCTTCCCTGCACACTGTTCAACACAGTTCATACATTCAGCAGACCCAGAGAGAGAACAGCTTCATCAGCTCTTTTTCAGGATCTTGTCTCTGCTGCAAGACTTCTAAGCAAAAAAATGCCAGCACACAGCACAACAGTGTAGCAAAGGCTGCAGGTCCTCCAGAAGCAAAGGGTCTCACAATATGAAAGGAAACAAGCTACTGAAAAAGAAAAAAGAGAACCACCCCAGGCAAACCAGAAAAGCTATGTGTGTATTCAGAGCTTGTGCCTCTTGTTCACTGAAGACTCATTCAGAAAGTGTAAGGTGTGGCCTATCTTAATGAGTAATCGGTAACTGGCAAGGAATGTTTAGTTAACTGAGAGAAAGGATAAAAAACCCCAACAAACCAAACAGCATCGCTGAAGAGAGCAGTATTTATGAGACTATAGCATAACAGGTCTTCTAAAATGAAGCATCTAGACAAGATGCCACAGCTGGAGCGCTGCCCAGCCACCTCCATTCAGGTTCCCCCACTCCCAGAGCGGGCAGTGCAGCCTGAAATCTTGCCAGCTCTGCACCCAATCCATGCATCCCTCATTCCCAGTCTCCTGCTGTCAGCAAGACTGTCCTGGGAAGATCTTTGGGGGGGTCCACAACTGGTCAGGGCAACGCTAGATGGACTGAAACCTCATGTTCTTTGTCAGTGGAAGTGTGGCGTCAGCTGGCTGACTCCAACTTAGGGTACATGTGGAAGTGTACACCACAGCAAGGATTGTGGTGATTATAATTAGTCACAGAAGGTGGACGGAGAGGGCTTGAGGACATACAGAGTTTGTGAACACTGCTAGATGCCAGTATACAAGTATGCCTGTATTCAAGGCCAGGTTGGAAAATGCCTTGAGCAACCTGGTCTAATGGGAGGTATCCCAGCCCATGGCAGGGGGGCATTGGGACTGAATGATCTCTAAGGTCCCTTCCAACCCATAACATTCTATGATTCTATACTATAACAACTGTCAAGTTTATTTGGTTAAAACAAATAAACAAAAAAACCCAACACACAATAAATAAACACAAATAAAAATATTGCACAATAGCCAAGTTTGTTTTAAAATAATGTACCCACTCTTTCTTCTGGAGGTAAAGGAAGGGGGAAAAAGATTTTTTTTTTAATGAAACAATTTATTATTTCAGGCCAAATTAAAAAAGAAAAGCGTAGAAAATGTTACTGTTTCCAAAATACCAACAGATGGCATTTCCTGAATCAAACTCCTTCTGGGAGTCTGCAGCTGCACAGCAAAATTTATGTCCTTGTCAGAATCAGGGATGCACTGCTGAGGCTCCCAGGATCTGTGGCTCCGGGCAGCTGGGACACAGAGACTTCCTCCCAGCCACAGGTCCTGGGAGCCTTCCCACGCTTCTCCCTCCCTCCCTCTCAGCCTCCCAGCATAATCCCACTGCACCACACAAAACTGGCCCATGTAGGGCCCAGAGCCGAGGGAGCTGAGTGGGTCTTTGCCTCTTGAAATTTCCTTTGGACTGCCAAATATTGCCTGCCCAAAGTGTGGTTGTCAGCTTGGATTTCTCCAAAATGGTTAACTTTCCACTCACACCACCTTTGTGCTCATCTGCAGACGTTTGTTACATTGTGCTTTTACTTATGCAGAAGCTAACACTCAAAATTACTTTTACAGATATGCCCGAGCATTCAAGTTTTTAAAAAAATTATGCTGTTGAGTTCGAGAGGCTGGCAGGAGAACATGGCTCCCCAAAATCTCCTTGGGCCAGGAAGGGAATTAGAGTAACTAAGAGAATTTTGCCCAACTGATCAGAGATGATAATAGAAGTTTTATTGTAATAAACTACCACTGAGATTTCTTCCACGAACTCAGCAGAGAAAGAACAAGCTTACAGTTACTAGAACTCCCTAATCCTCCTTATCTGACATTTCTTCCTAGAAAATCACATCTTGTTCAAACCTATTTCAATCCTAAGCGTATTTCCTGAAGGCATGAGCAGAACTGAAACAGTGTCATCACAAACACCTTTCAGTCTTGCTTATAAGAGTAAGTCTGCACAGTACTTCAGGGGAAATTTTTCCTACATTTTGAAGAAACTTCTGCCCTAGAGAGATAAAGAAATCTGGCTTGCTCTGTTATGTTATGCATTCAGTTCTGAACAATTCAGTATTGAAAGCCTTTTCATAAGCTTGGAAAATAATAGGAAACATATATTTTCATTTCAATGAGAAATTAGCAAGGTTTAGTAATTAACTGAACAGAAACTAGTTTTTCTCCCCCAAACTTTATGGAAGCATAACAAGTCCACACACAAAAACTGGATGCACAGGGTTGTTTGGTAGAGGGTGAGGGTGGCACAGAGAAAGGGCCACATTTGATAGAATTAACAGAAGCAGTAAAGACATTCAAATAAAACTTTATTTCACAGCGAAGACAAAAACCAGGATCAGCTTCCCAAACCTGATTAAGGGGGACAGTGAAGATGACCACAT